GATGTGGATATCCATTTAGTTTCCCAAAAAGATTGATACATGTATTACCTCTTGATATTCTCTATGAGTAATTAATATGATTCATGTATCATCATCTTAATTTGTATATAAATAGAGGTATTCCTACCACACTTTGCAATGAGAAATTGAGGAAATAAAATTCTTTCTACTTCTTGTCTACTTTCTCTACTCTACTTTATTTTGTTTTACAACACGTTATCAGCACGAAGACCCCCTTCAAACCTCACTTAAATGGCGACCTATTCAAAGCATCAATGTTTGTTTAAGGTGTAAACATTGGGATAAACCACCATCAATCACAAACCCAAGCACGATCAGTTCGCAATTCTGCGAACTCTGCTTACAAATGGGTTAGGGTAACGAAGAGGTACACGGCCCACTATCCTCGGAAGAGGCTGAGGACATGGCCGTGGAAGAGACCGAGGACGTAGCCGTTATCGTGGACGAGGTCGTGTCAGATATGTGCCTTATAATCACAATGATCATAACCGTGACAAAAGACAAAACAACTCCTATAAGTGGGACAATAATGATAAGAAAAGTAAAGAAAAGAAACATTATAAGAAAATATGCTACCGGTATGGAATAGAAGGCCATTAGTCCCGTACCTGTCGTACGACAAAATATCTTGTTGACCTCTACCAGGCATCATTAAAAGGGAAAGGCAAAACTACCGAGACAAATTTCATTGATCAAAACAATGTTTATGATGATCTTGACGATATCACACACCTCGATATAGCTGATTTCCTTGAGCAACCTGAAGTTGCGAAATAATCTCATGACAAATACCCGATATTTTGAATTTTGTTATTTTCACATCTTTTATGTAATTTTCTTTATGAATTTTATAATTTCTGGACTTTATTAATATTTACCTTTGTTTATAATTTTCTTTGTCATTTCTTCCTGAAGAAGAAATGGATGCCAAATATTTGGGATCAAACAATGGTGATGATAATATTTGTCTCATTGATAGTGCTACTACACACACTATACTTAAAAATATGAAGAATTTTTCTTATTTGAAAATGGAAGAAACAAATGTTAACACAATAAGTGGTAGTGCTAAATTGATTGATGACTCCGGAAGAGCCACTGTATTTCTTTCCGAAGGAACTAAAATTATCATAAATAATACACTACTCTCGATAAAATCTCGAAGAAATTTGCTAAGTTTTAAAGATATCCGCCGAAATGGATATCATATCGAGACAATGAATGAGACAAATGGTGAATACTTATTGTTTACAAATACTATTTCTGAAAAGAAATGCGTATTAGAAAAGCTATCTTCTCTATCTTCTGGCTTATATTATACAAAAATAAGTGCAACTAAAATTTATCACCTTATAGACTAGAAGTCTACTAATCCCAATGATTTTATGATTTAGCATGATTGCCTTGGACATCCTGGTTCTATAATGATGAGGCAAATAATTGCAAATTCACATGGCCATTCATTAAAAAAATTAAAAAAATACTAAATTCTAATGAATTCTCATGTGTTGCTTGCTTCCAAGGGAAGTTAATTGTTAGACCATCACCAACAAAAGTGAGAACTGAATCCCTTGCATTTCTAGAACGAATTCATGGTGATATATGTAGGCCTGTAGATCTACCATGTGGACCATTTAGATATTTTATGGTGCTAATTAATGCATTAACAAGATGGTCACATGTATGTTTATTATCTAGTTGCAACCTGGCGTTTGCGAGATTGCTTGCTCAGATAATTAAATTGCAAGCTCAATTTCTTGATTATCCTATTAAAAAATTCGTTTAGATAATGCTAGTGAATATTCATCACATGCTTTTGATGATTATTGCATATCTCTTGGAATAAGTGTTGAACATCATGTAGCTCATATTCATCATACACAAAATGGTCTAGCCGAATCATTTATTTAACGGCTTCAATTAATTTCAAGACCATTGTTAATGAGGTCTAAACTTCCTCTATATGCTTGGGGACATGCTATATTACACGCAACAGCACTTGTGAGAATTAGGCCGACAAGTTATCATACTTATTCTCCCTTACAATTAGTTCTTGGCCACGAACCCAATATTTCTTATTTAAGAATTTTTGGTTGTGCGGTATATGTTCCTATTGCACCGCCTCAATGTACTAAAATGGGCTCTCAAAGAAGATTAGGGATATATGTCGGGTATGAATCACTTTCTATAATTAAATATGTTGAACCATTAAAAGGTGACTTATTTACTGCAAGATTTACAGATTGTCATTTTGATGAAGCACATTTTCTGACATTAGGGGGAGGTAAAGATCAACCGAAAAAGGAAATTACTTGGAAAATATCATTAGACTTTCTTGATCCTCGTACAAAAGAATGTGAACTGGAAGTTCAAAGGATTATACATTTACAGAAAATTGTAAACCAATTACCGGATGTTTTTAGTGATTCTAGAAGAATTACTAAATCGCATATTCCAGCATAAAATGCTCCGATTAAAATTAATATCCCAAAAGGACATGGAAGGGGTCTTGGGGGTCGTCTCTAACTTCCATCTCAGTGACAAGCGACAACGATTAGTGGTGACGACTGACGAACACGACATGGAGATGTATTAGAGAGATATGTATGTTTGTGGTGATGAATGAATTTCATTCATGTAAGTAATAAGAAAGGAGGTTATAAGATGGGAATGGAGAGGGTTTTATAAGATTAATGAGATTTAAGGGAGTTCAATAGAGGGGTTACAAAGCCATTAAGTTACAAAATTATTAGCTAATAATGGAATTTGAATGAGGGCAATAAGGATAATGATATTAATAAAAACTCCAAATAAGATGAAACCCCAATAGTCTAATGGTCAGCTCCTCACGCATTTATAAAAATGATACGAAGAGGGGGTTATATAGCCCTTAATATTATGAATTGAAAAGACTTGTGAAATAGTGGGGAGAGTGGATGGAGGAGGTCATTTAAGATATTAAATGTAGAGAATGAATATATTTAATTAAGAAAACTATTAATAAGATAATTATTAAAAATTATTATTTTTTATTTAAGTATGCATGTATGTTCATGTATATATGTGTTGTACATAAGTATGCATGTATTTTGGAGGATGTATGTATGTGTTTTATTTATGTATGCATGTGTAGTTTTGGATGGTACTTTGGGAAGAAATGTTTTAACATGGCAACACACTTTTATAATAGTATTAGATTATTAAAAATAATTATTTTTTATTTAAGTATGCATGTATGTTCATGTATATGTGTTGTACATAAGTATGCATGTATTTTGGAGGATGTATGTATGTGTTTTATTTATGTATGCATGTGTTTTGGAGGGTACTTTGGGAATAAATGTTTTAACATGACAACCCACTTTTATAATAGTATAGTATTAGTGGGTTAAAACATGTATTAACTATACCAGTATACCTAGGAGATAATATTTTTCACAAAAACAAACATAGGAGATAATATTACATGGTTTATATCCCTCATAAGTAATAACTTAATACATATCTAAGAAAAAAATATTTAAAAAATATGTGAAAAATATTAAGTATAGTGCACGTGCACCATTCAATATTATCTCCTAATTTTATTCAAAAATGTAATGCTCCTTCATTACTATATTAAATATGCATTATAAAAACAAACATTATTTTATATAATTATTATCTTGCACAATATTATTATTATTATCATCATCATTAATAAATCACGTAAAGTAAACTATTTATTGTATAATATTATAATGCCTTTTTCTTATAACTAAATATTGCAATATCTAGGTTATACTATTATTAATACATAGCAAAACATTAGAGTGTTTCATCTTCTTTCCTCATTGCTGTCTTCTGCCTATATCCGTTTGGTGCTCACAAGAAAACATTTATTGGTAGCAGAGCTTTTATTATGGTGAAATCAATTCCCTCTAGCATTTTTCTTGGATTCATTGCTCTTCCAGTAATATTATATTATGTATGAGATATGAGATAATACTCATGTGTTTATGCATGTACATATGCTTTGGTCATAAATAAGGATGTTATGAAAAATTGAGAATGCATGTGTCAGCATGTATATTTGAATGGATGGATGTGTAGTAAATGATGAGCTTGTGAAAAATTAAGCATTTGCGCATTTCATGTATGTATGGATGAATGTGTTGGAGGACATTTTTTGGAAGAAATGTTTTAACATAGCAACCCACTTTTATAATAGTATTAGATATTAGATTAGATAAGCTTGTTTTATATCTAGAAAAAGAGTAACTGGATCTTTCTACCATGTGCAGCAGGGGTTTTTTGAAGAGTTATTTGGTTGCAGCAGGGGTTTTTTGAAAAGGTGAATCAAATTACGAAGGCCAAGGGGTGAAAAATTCACCCCGGGTATTTCTGACAAGGCCACGCGCGAGACCTGTCGCGCGCAGCTTGCCAGCTGCCGCGTGGCAAATTATATTTGGGCTGGATTTTTTTTCCTCCTTATTTTTAATTGATATTTTTTGAGATAAATACAATGAATTAATTTATAATTTTTATACCATTAATTTTCATTTTTCAAACTCTATAAATAGAGACTAACTTTGTGTCATTTGGACACCAAAAAAAATCTGAGTTTCTACACCCTATTCTTCTTCTTTCTACAATTTGAAGCTAGTTTCTTCATGGATCCTTCACAAAACTATCCTAATTTCCCCTACAACTACAACTTTCCTAACCAACCTCAAAATACCCTCCCTCAACCACAACATCCAAATATACAACGCCCCGAAAATACTCAAAATACGGGGATGCAGCCCAATTTTCAAATGCCGTATATGATGCAACCAAATTTCGGCATGCAATATCCTTATCTTCCTTACGGTTATCCTCCAGTTCCGGGAAGCAGCTATGTTCCCTCCCATATGAATTATCCTAACACGGAGTCGAGTGAGCCAGCGACACCCCGGTTTAGTAGCGGATCTACAGATATCTTAGAATTTTCCACCCAAATGTCTTTAGGAAATGTTGGTGGGGATACTCCTCACAGTTTTCTCCCTCCAACCCAACAATCAGCAAAGAGATCAAGTTATGAAACTTGGACCACCGAAGACAACATACTTTTACTAACTGGTTATTTTCACGTTAGTAATGATAGTGAGTTGGGGAACAACCAAAATGGTGAAACTTTCTGGGGTAAAATTACACAGTACGTGAATGAGAACGCCAAAAGTGGAAAGGAGAGGATTGTGTCTCGGTGCCATAGTCATTTCAAAGACATCAACAGAAAGATATCCAGTTTTATTGGCTGCTACAGTGCTGCATGTAGGGAGAAGCGTAGCGGTTGGTCCGATGAAAACTACATATCCAAGGCAAGAGAGTTGTACTTTGAGAAAATGGGTACGACGTTTAATTTGGTGGATGAGTGGAAGGTGGTTTGTAATCAACCCAAATATATGACATGAGGAAATGCATCCAGTAGTAGTGGCTCTAAAAGAAAGAGTAGTGGTGAGGATGTTGAATCATCAACTCCTACCCTTGTACGTCCAGAGGGTAGGGACGTGGCAAAGAAGAAAGCTAGAGCTTCCTCTAGTAAAACATCTGTGTCAAGGAAATCAAAGGGGGCAATTGAGGAGGAGTTATCTAAGCTAGTCAGTGCTCATGAAAAATTTGAAGAGAAAAGATCAAGTACTGCTTCAGCTATGAATAACCTGGCTCATTCCAAGAATATGGAGATGTGGTTATTCTTGAAAAACAAACCAGATCGTGACGATGAAGATGAAGAAGCTTATAATATGTTGAGGAAGAACCTGTTTGGAAAATAAGACCTTCTCAAGAAGTTATGATTGTGTGTTTTCTTTCTGATGTTTTTGTGTGCCGTTTGTTTAATTTTAGAGTTGTGTGGGTGCCTATGTTTGTTGAATGTATTAATAAAAGTGTTGTTTATGTTTGAATAAAATTGTTGTTTATGTTTCAATAAAGTCGATTGATATTAACTTCTCACTGCATAATAGTACAAAAGATACAATTACTACTCACTGCGAAAACAAACAAATGTTGAATTGACCTTTCACTGCAAAAAATACAAAGGATGAAATGACTACACCTGCATAATAATACAAAATATGAATTGACAACTCTCTGCACATGCATGCCCTATGACACATGTCTCTGCAATCGCATGTGAATTCAATTATTTGAACAACTACCCTTCATTATATAAACTGATCAGATGCACATCATAAGTATACCTATCAACATTTCAAATATCATAGCATCCAATGAATCCTTTTCTAAATGAGTTTAGTCTAGAAGAGTTCCAACAACAATGGGAAATAGAAGAAAAAATACTTGATAGGCAGCGAGAACTTCTTGAAGAATTGCAAAGGAGAAGCGAACAACCACGTAAGAGGAAATCCATACATAGAGATCATCATGCAGCGCATGAGAGACTCATGGCCGACTACTTTGCCGAGTCATGCACTTACACTGACGCCCAGTTCCGACGCAGGTATCGAATGAAAAGGCCTCTCTTTCTACGAATTGTGGACTCTATATCAAATTACGACGATTACTTCACACAACGGCGCAATAATGCGGGCAAGCTTGGGTTAACGCCTATCCAGAAGTGTACGGCTGCCATACGCATGCTCGCATATGGAGTCGCAGCCGATGCTTGTGATGAGTACGTCAAGATAGGAGAATCCACTGCTATCGAGTGTACTCACAAGTTTTGCGAAGGGGTGTAGGCGTCAAAAAATGCTGAAAGATATCCAAATACAGCTCAAGAGGAAATCATCCAAAAAGGCAGAAGAACACAAGTTTGGGATGTCTCGCATGCGAGACAGTCTTTACTGTCTCGCCAGGCGGCATTCTCTGTCTCGCCCGCGAGACAGCATTCTCTGTCTCGCCCGCGAGACAGCATTCTCTGTCTCGCCCGCGAGACAGCATTCTCTGTCTCGCCCGCGAGACAGCATTCTCTGTCTCGCCCATGAGACAGTTTTCAAAGAATTTAGAAACCACTTTATAACCGCCGACACGTGGCCACCAACTGTTCAAGAACGTGGAGAACGTCGTGGACGAGAATCACGTTGATAACTACCAGAATAACGGAGTTAAAAACGTGGGAAGACAGTTACAGCGAGAAACTGTCAGACAGTATTTACTGTCTCGACAGTATTTACTGTCTCGCTGGGCGAGACAGCAAAATTTACTGTCTCGCGGGTCGAGACAGCAAACACTGTCTCGCCCAGCGAGACAGCAAATACTGTCTCGCCCCCCGAGACAGCAAATGCTGTCTCGCGAGCACTGTTCATCAACGGGTTATAAATACCCCCGAGGTGATTTCTTTGGGGGCCCCCAGCAGAGATCCAAGGCTGATCATTTGGAGCACTTCAGAGCAGAGAGAGGGCAGAGTACTCGAGCGTCAGAAACTCCTTGATATTCAGGCTTTGACTTGATTTCAAGAAGAACGACTATCTTACCTTGATAAGATATCGTTTCAAGTTCTCACTTCGATAAACGAAGTCAGAATCATAAACCCCTCACGATTCGATCAGAATCTGTGATTTGGTGGTCCACGGGCTAACGCACCCCCGGCACAGGTAAAGATCCCACGCAAGCAGTGATCCAAACAACGATCCTGCGTTTGTTTCCCAAGAGTTGTAATTTTCATTTTGTTGTGTAAAAGAAGTCTTATAAAAAGGCTATTTCTTTTGAATTTATTGTAATCGACTGAAGATATAATGAATTCCATGACAAAACCAACTTTTGACGCAAACAAGCTGGCGACCACAGTGGGAGCCAACGGTCTCGCTGCCGAGACCGTCGTGTCGCAGCCAATCATCAAGATCCTGGTTGAATCAACGGTCGAGTACGAGTTCGACCAAGCGAAGTTTGAGGAGTATTTGTCATCCTCATCTGTAAAGTCTTCCGCGTCTCGCAAGTGCAGGAAGATTTCATCTTCGTTGAAGTTATCAAATGCTACGGATGAAGACTCTCGTCCGATTGTTGCTGAGGATTTTACTCGCAACAGCTCTGCTCAAGATGATTCCTCCCCAATTAAGGAGTCGTTCGATCGAAGTTCACCACTGACGAAGAGGGCTCGTCAAAGGCGACGCCAACGCCGCACTCGTCAATTGGCTAAGGCATTGGAACAAACCGACAGGGTTCGTTATCATGCGGACTTAGAGTCGAGGAGACATCGAGTGGTTCAGTTGCCTCAACAACCAATCACTCGTATCTCTGCTAAAATAACGACGGATGAATGGACTTTTGTCAAGAGGGCTCGCTCGACCCTCAAAGAACGAAAGGACTCGTTCGACCCTCAAAGAACGTATACAAAAACATCGTGCAAATGCTGCTCATGTCCGAACTCTACTACAACAAAGACGAGAAAGGAGGAAGGAAACGGTGACCAAAGAACCACCGAAACTCTGCCAAGTTTGGATTCCAAAGTCTGGACTTATGCAAAATCAGTATTCGGAGCCCGTTAAGACTCCATACCCGCAAGGGGGTGGTTTTAAACGTGCGACTCCCGACATAACCTTGGATCGCTCAAAGACAAAAATAAATTGTCCTGAGAATGCCAACAAGGTTTTACACCCCCAGAAGAAGACGCATTCACCAAATGATATCGTCATACCTGGGAGGTCATGCCAACAGACGATACGATTTTGGTAATCATACCGATGAATCGTATTATCAAGTTGGGGTTGTGAATAATTTTCAAAAGAGAGTTATTCGAGAAATAAACTCTCGGTGTTCCTGTGCGCGACTCGTTAAAGCAGCATTATCAGGATGTGATTGTTTCAAACGAGAAGCCATCCCACGAAGAGTCTCTGTATCGTCGAAGCCTAAGCCGAGACATTTCCGCGAGAGAAAATCAGCTGCCCAAGATGATGAATTCCCTGAAGTCACCATCAACGTGGCTGATAAAAGAAAGTCTAAACGGCATTCAAGTGACTCAAATCCCGACTTTTCTCCGAAAGGAAAAGTCAATCCAAGAATTGCTCAAAGGATGTCTCGACTCCAATTAGGAGCCATCAGACGCAGAGACTACAAGAGAATGCAAGAAGGAATGTCCTCGGAGGATGAATTCTCGGACACTTATTCTGCAATCGCTTCTGATTCAAAATATTACAGATGACAGTGATCCAGAAGTGAATGAAGTCATCTTTGCTAATGCACCTCCCAATAGCAATAACGCTGGGGGTGGTTTAACACATTCTCCCAATAACGATATTGGGAGTGGTTCAATGGCACCTCTTACAGGTGGTGGTCTAACTCATTCTCCTCAACGTCATTCGAATGAAGACATAGACGATGACGGGAAAATGAAAGAGCTTGAAAACAAAGTCAACGCTTTGATGACGGCTCAAGAAGTGAAGAGGACGGGTATTCCATGTCCCTATCCAAGAGAATGGAATTCAATACCGTACCCGGCAAAATTCAACATGATTAACTTCACACCATTTGACGGGAAGAACTCGTCTATTCAGCACTTGATTTATTTCAAGTCTCATTTGGGCGTGATCTCTGGAAACGAGGCTTTAATGGTCCGGTCATTCGTTGGCACCCTTCGTGGGCCCGCCTTCGATTGGTACCGACGGCTCAAGCCAGGAAGCGTCAATTGCTGAGATGACATGGAAAATTTGTTCCTCAGCAATTTCTTCGATGATGACACCGAAGTGTCAATCGGAACCCTTTTGGATGAGAAGCAAAAAGACGGAGAGTTAGTTGACAATTTTGTCAAGCGCTTCCGTAACATGGCAATGAATTGCAGAGATCCTATTACAGAAGAGTTTATCCTGCAAACATGCCACAATAACCTCTCCATCGATGTCCTGGAAGCTCTGGGGGTCGTGCCATCCACAACTTGGAAGGAGTTAAAATCTCGGGGTGAACAAGCTGAGCACTTTCTTAAAAGAAAGAAAGCTGAGAGAGGCCAACCAATGACATCTGCAATCGTTGAGAATGCGACTCTCGATCCGAGGTTTCAAAAGGAATATTCTTTCGAAGATGATGAAGCTCCAGCCATCTTGGAATACCTCCTCGCTAATGACAAAATCGAGCTACCACCTATTAAAGATCAGGATGGAGCTAAGAGGATTACGGATCCAAACTATTGTGCGTACCACAGAAGGGTTCTTCATCCCACCGAGATTTGCTTCGGACTCAAAAACAAAATCCAAGCCCTAATTGACTCCAGCGTCATAACGACGAAAGAAGTCGAGTAAAGACGACCATAATACTCCAGTGGATGCACGAGTATAAACTGTTTCCCCAAACTCCAGTGGGTGCACGAGTATAAACTGTTTCCCCACACTCCAAAGAGTATACGAGTATAAACTGCTTCTCGGTCATCCAACTAAGTACAATGTTAAACTCGGCCTCACAAAAGAAGCTGGGGGTGGATGCTGGGGGTGGATGATTTATGGGAAGTTCCTAGAGAATCTTTATTCTTAAGGATAACCCGAACATGCGACTGAGGATAACGCACTCCTCGTTACACCCAGTTTTGCAAAGAAAGTTGGGGGTGGATAATTCATGTAACGGGAAGTTTCCGGAAGAATGTTAAATGTAATATTCTTAGGGATAACCCCGATCATTAAGAACAAAGTGATAAACACTAAACTCCTACTATGACTTCCGAATACTCTTTTGCTGAGATGAGATTCGATCACCTCTTTTGGTCAATCTTCCCTCACAAAATTCCCATTTTTGGTCAAACCTTTAAACAGTTAGGACCAAAACCAAAATCCCCTCTCGATTCGTTCCATGAACGAGAAGTCCACAAATTGAACGATCAAACCTTTAAACAGTTAGGATCGTCTCAAATTCCCATCTTGGTCAAACCTTTAAACAGTTAGGACCAAAACCAAAATCCCCTCTCGATTCGTTCCATGAACGAGAGGTCCACAAATTGAACGATCAAACCTTTAAACAGTTAGGATCGTCTCAAATTCCCATCTTGGTCAAACCTTTAAACAGTTAGGACCAAAGCCAAAATCCCCTCTCGATTCGTTCCATGAACGAGAGGTCCACAAATTAAACGATCAAACCTTTAAACAGTTAGGATCGTCTCAAACTCCTATTTGGTCAAACCTTTAAACAGTTAGGACCAAAGTCAAAATCTCCTCTCGATTCGTTCCATGAACGAGAGGTCCACAAATTGAACGATCAAACCTTTAAACAGTTAGGATCGTCTCAAATTCCATTTTGGTCAAAAGACCATAATACTCCAATAGGTACACGAGTCTAAACTGTTTCCCTAATCTCAACAGGAAGTTTCTGGAGAATATCACTCAGAATATTCTTAAGAATAACTTGAATACTCCAATAGGTACACGAGTCTAAACTGTTTCCCTAATCTCAACAGGAAGTTTCTGGAGAATATCACTCAGAATATTCTTAAGAATAACTTGAATACTCCAATAGGTACACGAGTCTAAACTGTTTCCCTAATCTCAACAGGAAGTTTCTGGAGAATATCACTCAGAATATTCTTAAGAATAACCTGAATACTCCAATAGGTACACGAGTCTAAACTGTTTCCCTAATCTCAACAGGAAGTTTCTGGAGAATATCACTCAGAATATTCTTAAGAATAACCTGAATACTCCAATAGGTACACGAGTCTAAACTGTTTCCCTAATCTCAACAGGAAGTTTCTGGAGAATATCACTCAGAATATTCTTAAGAATAACCTGAATACTCCAATAGGTACACGAGTCTAAACTGTTTCCCTAATCTCAACAGGAAGTTTCTGGAGAATATCACTCAGAATATTCTTAAGAATAACCTGAATACTCCAATAGGTACACGAGTCTAAACTGTTTCCCTAATCTCAACAGGAAGTTTCTGGAGAATATCACTCAGAATATTCTTAAGAATAACCTGAATACTCCAATAGGTACACGAGTCTAAACTGTTTCCCTAATCTCAACAGGAAGTTTCTGGAGAATATCACTCAGAATATTCTTAAGAATAACCTGAATACTCCAATAGGTACACGAGTCTAAACTGTTTCCCTAATCTCAACAGGAAGTTTCTGGAGAATATCACTCAGAATATTCTTAAGAATAACCTGAATACTCCAATAGGTACACGAGTCTAAACTGTTTCCCTAATCTCAACAGGAAGTTTCTGGAGAATATCACTCAGAATATTCTTAAGAATAACCTGAATACTCCAATAGGTACACGAGTCTAAACTGTTTCCCTAATCTCAACAGGAAGTTTCTGGAGAATATCACTCAGAATATTCTTAAGAATAACCTGAATACTCCTGGAGGTTATAAATACCGGGGGCCCCCAACAGAGATCCAAGGCTGATCATTTGGAGCACTTCAGAGCAGAGAGAGGGCAGAGTACTCGAGCGTCAGAAACTCCTTGATATTCAGGCTTTGACTTGATTTTAAGAAGAACGACTATCTTACCTTGATAAGATATCGTTTCAAGTTCTCACTTCGATAAACGAAGTCAGAATCATAAACCCCTCACGATTCGATCAGAATCTATGATTTGGTAATCAGAATCTGTGATTTGGTGGTCCACGGGTCAAAGCGCTCCCGGCACAGGCAAAGATCCCACGCAAGCAGCGATCCAAACAACGGTCCTGCGTTTGTTTCTCAAGAGTTGTAATTTTCATTTTGTTGTGTAAAAGAAGTCTTATAAAAAGGCTATTTCTTTTGAATTTATTGTAATCGACCGAAGATATAATGAATTCCATGACAAAACCAACTTTTGACGCAAACAAGGGGTAATAGCATTGTTTCAAGATGAATACTTACGACGACCAAATGTGGAAGACTTGCAGAGGTTGCTCCAAGTTGGACAGGAACGTGGATTCCCAGGGATGATTGGAAGTATTGATTGCATGCACTGGCAGTGGAAAAATTGTCCTAAGGCTTGGCAAGGGCAGTTTACTAGTGGACACAAGGGGACGGCAACAGTTATCCTCGAGGCAGTTGCGTCATATGATTTGTGGATATGGCATGTTTTTTTAGGGCTTCCTGGTAGTTTGAATGACATAAATGTACTAGATAGGTCACCGGTTTTTGACGACATTGAGTCGGGTGAAGATCCACGGGTAAACTTCACCGTGAATGGGCGGGAGTACAATCTTGCATATTATCTTGCCGATGGAATCTACCCTAAGTGGCCTATCTTCGTGCAGTCAATTCAAATGCCCCAAGGCAACAAACATCATTTTTTTGCCAAACAACAGGAATCATGCAGGAAGGACGTGGAACGCGCATTCGGGGTACTCCAAGCACGCTTCGCTATTGTCCGCCAACCAGCTAGAATGTGGGATCTTGATGTCTTAGGAAAAATAATGAGGGCGTGCATTATTTTACATAACATGATAGTAGAGGATGAACGAGATACGTATTCGCGAAACTGGGAAAATATCGACTTTGAACCGTCGAACAATGCTAGCTCTAGCGCCTCTTTCAATGTTCAAACAGACGTGTTGCCGGAGTTTCAAGTCCATGTTCAACACCGATCTGAGGCAGATAATCAGACTAGAGCGGAACTACGAGATAAGACCCAACATATTCAGCTGAAGAAGGATCTCATCGAGCACATTTGGCAGAAGTTTGGGACAACCTCCGATTAAATTTTTACCAATTTAGTGTGTGTTTTCTGGCCTGTTTTCAATAATTTGGGTGTGTTTGGTTTTCCGTATGCTTAATAAAATCGTGTGTTATTTTATGTTAATTTAAAAATATTATTGAAAATTAAATTAATAATATATATTTAAATATTATATATTATTTATTGAATTATTAATAAATTATAATTATAAATATATGAGTTATATTAATAATAATAATAATAAAATAGTAATATATATGAAATAGGAAAAAGAATGAATAAATATGGTGGGGTATATGTTGAAGTGATGTGGTTTATGGTGGGTCCCAAATAAAGTAAAAAACTTTCTGAAAAATCTCCTGCTGTAGAGTTGATAGGGAAATGAAGATTATTGAATTAAATAAAGTGATGTGGCAGGAGAGAAGGAGGTGAAATTTCACCTCCTGCTGGAGATGGTCTTATAGACGAAAAGGCAAAAGAGAAAAGTGAATACAAAATTAAGTAGCTAAAAAGCAAATTTGTCTTAGCTAAAAATAGTGACAATTAATGCGAATATCAAGCCGGAAAAAAAAAAGGATTTGTTCACCTCTTCATAGATTTATCTTTTGTGCTTCGACGAGTTCTTTTGACAAGATTCACAAATAGAGATGGATCCACCTAACATCTTTTATAATCCTCTAAATTTCATGTAGCAAACTCCGAAAATATAATAGAAAAAACTACTATGTTTTGTTGCAATAACTAGTTACATGATATCGACATTATAGATTTTTAACCCAATGTTATTAATAGCCTCTATGATTAGATAAACAGATTCCTCCAATTGGATGTTTCTGATTGTTAATATATAATCATGAAAGCTGTTATCAAAAGATTCCTTAAAAAAAAACCTCTTATTGAGCTCCAAGAAACAAAACTTTCACAATCTTCAACTAAAGTGCGTGTCTTTTTATTTTTTCTTTAAAAAATAGAGGGGTTTAGATGCTTATCCCATGTGAACAAAGATATCAAGATGCCACCTAATCAAAATGGCCTAATATCTTGTGTACAAGTTGTTTATAGTTAATAGTTTTTTATGAAATTGCAGTGAGACTTTATTTGTTTTTTGGTTAATATCCACTTTTGACGGGCCCGTTCTCTTCAATGGGTAATGGATATCAACTGAAACCTAAGTATTACAAAGCCCTTAAACAAGCAAAAGATTACAATTAAAAAGAGAAATTTAAAGTCTCAAATCAAAAATCACTAGCACGTACACTTAAGAGTGTTTGTGAAGCTCCTCATCTTAAGCTTGTAGAAAGATTCCTTTGTGTGTGAACAATTCTTATATTAACTAATCACTCAAGATCATTTTAGACCAAAAGCTTGGCATAAACAAAACATAAACAAAACCTCGTTCAAAGTCTTGCTCTCCAAGTAAGGAACACAAAATGAGGATCAAATCAGTGTTCAAAGTAATGAGAAGCTTCTCAATGTTCACCTGCATTTTTAAATAGCTCTTCATCAGCTACTCATCTTTAGCTTTGCAGGCTGTCTAAAAATCACAACAGATAACCAATCCTCATCAAATACCGATAATGGAAGTTACAATCTGACGACTTCCAGAAGGTTACAATTTAAAGACTTTCACGTAGATCGATGAAGGTTACAATCCGACGACCTTCGCAACAACTGATGAAAGCTCCAATCAACAACATTCACAATCAACATCGGGAGTTACAATCTGACGACTCTCACGTATCAAAGAGCTAAAACAAAGATTACAAAATGATGATCTTTGCAACGCTTTGATAGAAAGAGACTACAAATCGACGGTCTCTTCAAATCAAGATGCGGAAGTCCTCCCCGCGTACCAGCATCAAGACGCACCGCGTTCACAGCCGCTGACGCAGTGCAAACGCAACTCACATTCAACTCCAAACGCTGCAAACGCAGCTCAGATCCAGCTGCCAACGCAGCTCATGTTCGACCGCAAACGCACCTTTCGAAAGCTGCCAACGCAGCTTCCAAATGCTACAAACGCAGCTTCCAATTGCTGCAAATGAGCTTCCAGACGCTACGTCCGAGCTTCCAGACGCTGCGTTCAAGCTTCGAGATACTCCGTTTGAACGCAGAATTCACGCCAGAACACGGATTTTGCGTTTGACTCGTTTAAACACGAGCTGAACGGTTTCAAAACCGTTTCCCACGATCTGAGGGGATCATAACTCCACTTAGGAGTGATTTAAGGGGCGGTTACATTCCATAAGTCCTACTTAAGAGCGAATTAAGGAGGCGGTTACACCCCTTAATCCCCTATAAATAACTGAAAAATCAGTTTAGTTGAGGGCGCTTCGGCTTGGGCGATCAGGCGGAGAGAGGGGGAGATATCTTTGGATCTTGGAGGATCTTGGAGATCTAGAGATCGGCTTCTTCAGATCATCTTCTCGGCAACAGATTCTTAGGGCTATCTTCGTGCTTGACTTGTCTAACTAATTACGGTTAAGATCAATCAACTCTTTTACAAGAGTTTAAACTCGCTCTGAATTATCAATTCGTTCAGAGTTTCGAACTTGCCACACAAGTTCTCCACAGCGTCAAATCGTGTGGAGAATATACTGTTCCAGTGAAACAAGACGTTCGGATCGTCAACGAGAAACAAACTCGACGCGAGCATTTGAGGGAGGCATCCCATCGCTACCGTGAAGAACCCAATATTAAACAAATGGGAGAATTCAGATCAATTCTCCTCTTTTTTGTAATCGGAAATCCAAATTGTAATTGAGATCGAGAGAATACAAATCAAATTTCTTTCATTCTTTTTACTATAAATTTTCCACCAAACAAGCTTTCCATCTCAAAATGGTGCATCAAACAGAACTAGTCAACAAAGCAACAACTTGCTAGAAATTTGTTTATTTCCTTTACAACTTTCTAAAATATGATGAATACATGCAAAGTTGCTCATCTTGTAAAGGAAAAATAGTCCAATAGCAAACTTTTACTTGTCTCGGTGCTCTACCACTGTTATTATCCAGAACTGACAGGTTATTGAACATAGAGAATATGTATTCTCTTGAGTTCTCCATACTCTGATAACAAACTTAGATAACAAATGAAACTACTAGTAACCATATATCAAAGCCAAGGATGATTTGCAAAAGGAAACACCAAACATGCTGATGTCCAATTTATAGCGAGTCTGACTATCTCATAACGAATACCCGTTGACAAGACCCGTTGAGGATCATACCGCCCCAAACTCCCATATTTTCCCCTCCACTATGGGGATTTAAACTGGTGGCGAAACTATGACGGGCTTCGGTTGTTGACCCGTTAAGATTTTCAGTAGATGTGAACTGCTGTTGCCGTTCCTTTTTGTTAAGGAAGCGTCCACCGGCTCCCCTTTCTCTCTTCATTGCGTGGAGGTGCCGAGACTCATGAAGGTACGGCTGAGATATAATTAAGAGAAATTAGAGGGAAGACACCTCATTTCGCAACTACAGAGTTCATAACAACATTAAAAGGATTAATTGCATCTAGACCTCCTGTAATATCACTTTTTTTGGACTTAGTTTCGTTGTTACAGATAAACACCCTGGGTACAAAATTTCTGACTCCTTTACCTGTGGGTGAAATTAGTGAGTCTATATGAGGATAAAATCGGGGGGAGGGGGCTACCTGCAACAATGAAACGACAGTGGTAGTAAATTCAAATCAACGATACTAAAAGGGGACTATGTGCAATTAACCCATATAAAACTTTCAGTTAACAAAGTTTTTCCATCAAATAGAGATCCGACTAGATTTTAGGAGTTGTAGTAATGAAGTTCTTAAGAATCGTACAACTACAAGAATTTGTTTTGTTAAATAGCATTATCAGAACTCTTCTCACAATAGAAAAATGTCCGACAATAGAAAATTGCAGTTTGGTGTCTGCAATTGGTAAACACAGAAATGCTATGAATAACTAATTTGGGTGCTTTGAGTGTATTAAGTGCAAAAGGACAATTTACATTTTAGTTTCCTCTAGTCCTTTTAAGGTCAATTCCTTTCCTTTGCAAGACTTCAAAACAAAATTAAATTAAAATCTAGAACAGTACCTTTCGTTCTTTCATGAGCTTATTTTGAGCCTCTAACTTGGCACGAAATTGTCTCCTTCTAAGGATCCCATTGTATTGCTTTGCATTTACATAGATAGGTTCATCTTCTGCAGGCTCAAGTGGAAGAGGAACTCGACTTGAAGATCCCACTCCCATCATCTGTGGATGAGATTTTGTATGAGAAGCAAAGATGAACTTGAAATATAAATTAGATGTAGAAAGTGTTCCAAGTACTTTATCTTCATAAACATCACATACATTAAGTCATAGTTTTCAAATAATGACATGCAGTTTTCAGTATACTTTTGAGGATGCACCTTATGATTGGGGGTGTACCTTATAAATAGTTGTAACCAACCTTCTGGGAGTGAAAGCTTTATGGCTGGAGCCTCATATCTTGTTTGAGGTTCCATCCTTTTTGTCAAAAATAATAATAATAATAATAATAATAATAATAATAATAATAATAATAATGACATGCAGGTTGCAAAGGACAAGAAGAAGAAAGTGATAATGATAATGACAATTTTCAAATAATGACATGCAGGTTGCGAAGGACAAGAAGAAGAAAGTGATAACCATAATGACTAGGAGGTGCTCAAATCCCATATCAAACACCAAAAAGTGGTTGTTCTAATTTATAAAGATATGTCAAAGCAATAGTGTTATATGGTGCATGCATAAAAGAAGATAGAAGAGGCACAAATCAAAATTTTGACTAATTTCGATTGCTTCAGCATATAATTGCTCCATTCAAAGTGTCCTTGGTTTGTAACCAGGTCTTAATATTTTTTTCAGGTTCCAGGTTAATTTAGACCACAAGTTTCTGTAAAACTTCACAAGTATCTCTGCTATATATTATTCATTACTATATATATTATATATATTATATAACTATATATATATTATATTATATATAGGTACTAATTAAGATGCAGAGAGAGAGAGAGAGAGAGAGAATGGTATTGCCCTTGGTACAAAGCACAACATTTTGTGCTTGGTAGTATTTGTCACATCCCTCATCACCTCCAATACCATGTAATGTGTCCCATATGTTAAATGAGTGAGGGGATGTGACACATCACTACCAAGCCACTAACTATTTTGTGCTTGGTACCAAGCATACCCATATTGCCATATAATATATATAGTATATATATATAGGGTATATACATATAACTTATATATATATATATATAGTACTTCTTGTGCACGTGCAATGCACGTGATTAAATATCAAAATTTTTATTTATTTATTTTCTTACTATAAATTAAGTCATATTCATTTTAAGGTAAAATCTATAAATATGGATTGTTACATTTGCCATAAATTTTATAAAAATATTTTTAAATTTTTTATGAAATAGATGATTATTTTTTAAAATCTTTTGGGGTCGGGAATAAATAACTAACAAGTTTGCAGTGGAAGATAGGGGAACATAGTACATTATTAAGAATTATTAATTTTTACTCAGTTTGTTTATAATGATGGGATCTCGTTATTAATTAACTACAATGCTTAGTACATTTTTTTTGTTGGACGTTCAAGACAGGCAGATGACCCATGTGAGTTCTCATCGCAATGAATGTTATACAATTTAAGTATAAGAAAAAGGAGGGTTGATGAATGGCATGGTTGGTGAGGGGAAACTTCAGCAGCTTAATTTGGTATGTAGACATATAATAGATAGAGATGGAGAATAATGGTTTTAAAAACAGTGGGTACGTGTGGGTTATTAGTATAGTTTTTGTTTGTGTGGTTTTTTCGATCATTTTCAAGATATTTGTGGTCATATATATATATATATATATATATATATATATATATATATATATATATATAGCATTGCTACTCTGTTTTGGTTATGTGGAAGAGTTAGGGTGTTAAAAAAAATTAAATTATCTAATCTAGTTAAAGTAGGATTATATACGTTAAGCCCATACATGAAATTTATTTTAACCAACACCCATGTGTAAATATTACAATTACCATTAATATCTAAGATATGTGTGATATTCTCTTTGATTTTTATACAAATAGTATTTATTTAAATGATAATAGTATAATTAAACTTTTTAATCTGAAAAAAGATCAAACATACAATATAAGTAATTATTTTAAAATAATCTAATCTAATCTAAAACGAAGAAAATAGATGAAATGATGTGAAAATTATTACAATTTCATAATTCATAATTTTTAAACAATCTAAACTAATCTAATAAGAAGAAAATAACAAAGCCACGTATTTGTTGAAGGAAATGAAAGTGCTATGAAAATTATTATAATTTCTGATCTGAAAAAAATCAAACATACAATATAATTACTTGCTTTAAAATAATCTAATCTTATCTAATAAAAAACAAAATAGATGAAAGTGTTGTGAAAATTGTTGATATTTCTTCATATGAAAAAAATAAATATACAATATAATTAATTGCTTTAAAATAATTATAGGCGTTAAAAATTACCTACGGGCTCTCGCACGCAGCTCGAAGTAGAGAAAATACGATGTATGTCACTATCCGAGTCACAGAAGCTTAATTGAAGTCGATGAGCGCATGAAGTAAGTCGACGAACCGTGTGAAGAAACGAAACTGCAGAATAACGAAGATACGAACAGATCGGGAGCTACGCTTCGCTTACGAAAGACGAAGCGCCCCACGTGTCCCAACTACTCCACATGTGATTCAACCATGGGAGCTTGTAGATCTCCTCATCGGCTTTCCTTCGCACTTTGAATCGCACAATTCTGAGTTCGGACGATGAAGATACGGCAGAAACGAACGGGACGCACAAAACAATGCCCCGGGCCTTGGTGAAGATACTACGAGTGTCTCGACCAAGGCTGAGACACTCTCGGCCATGGCCGAGACACTGCGGGTGTCCGCAGACCCAAAAACACAGTTTTGAATCATTTTCAACCGTTAACTGTCTGAATTTGTTTCAACTGATCTAATATTATCCAAGAATATGATAAAGTTATTATAATTGAGGATAAGATCGAATTGGTCGTTCTTATCTAAAAATAGAGGTCCTGAAGCTTATAAATACAACCCTAGGGCCTTCATTTGTACAGATCTGGAATTCTCGAACCTTGACGAAGTCCTGTTGAATCAGAGACTGAGGAGCACGAATTTCAGAGAGGAGGAGATAGGATCGAGTTCTTTGACATAAGAAAGAGGAGTTCGTCAGATCCATAGCCCGGTTCTTTCCCTTGAGATCGTACCTAGTTACGATCTCGAGAAGAGTGGTTATCTCGTTATTGCCGAGATAATTGCTTCGGTTTCTTAATTCCTTCGCGAATCAACGAAACTCCGGATTGATTTGATTGCTTGGTAGTCCACGGATATTAACGTCCCCGGCACAGGTAAAGATCCCACGCAAGCAGCGGTAGATAAATGTCTGTTGTGTTTGTTTGAGAAGAGTTGTAATTTTTTTATTTTATTGTGTGGGGAGATCTTATAAAAAGATCAGACTTTTAAACTTATTATAACGACTAAAGCTGTAATAAGGTGCACAATGAAAGCATCAACTTTTCACCTAAACAATAATCTAATCTAATAAGAAGAAAATAACAAAGACAAATATATGTAGGAGGAGATGAAAGTGCACGTAAATTGTTGTAGTTTCTTGGCTTATAAACATTGATATGTGATATTGCATGTGAGAGGACAACAATTGTAATTAGAATTCTATTTAAATAATAATAGTATGATTAAACCTTGAAACTAATTATGTAGTATCGTAAACTACTTGAATTTTAGTTGGTGAAAGATCGCTACGTTGTGTCCTCATATCGCAGCCGTTTATTTTAATTTTTTTTTATAAATTTCAGAACGATTTTGTCTCTTTAATTTGTTTGGTGGATTTTGCAAAGACCACGTCCACATTATGTATATTTGTAGATCTGCGTTATTTCGGGGTTCGACCTCTGGGGAGGACATTATTTGTCTCACTAATTTATTTGGTTTTTGTATATACGTCATTCATCTTGTATACATTTATAAATTTGCATTTAATAATTTTATTTAGGTTTACATTTTAATTTAAATTATATTCTTATCTTCATACTATGTATATCCAATAAGAATTCATCAATTTATCAACTTATTTTTACTTAATGGATTAATTTGAATTTCAAGGGTATTTTGTCTACCAAAAGATTTTTCCGAACTCGTGCTTTTAAAGAGAGTATGATATGATATATATATATATATATATATATATATATATATATATATATATATATATATATATTATTATATTAGAGAGAGAGAGAAGGACCGAGTGCCGAGAGTGGAGAGGAGTAGAGAGAGAGATTAGATGAGGCAATTTAATATCCTTGTCATAGGAGGATTCCTCCTTGACGCCTATGTGGCACATCCCCACCATCCACATTAAAATTAGGAGAGAGAGTGTGAGTGTGGGGTTTGGTGTCTACTTATATAGGATGAGTGGGCGATTGTGCACATTACCGAAAGGAGGAAAATCTCTCTCCTATGACAATGATACCCAATTAATCTCATATATATATATATAATATATATATATTATATATATTATATATAATATATATATTATATATATATATATATATATAATATATATATATATATATATATATTATATATATATATAAAATATATATGCATGTCCGGGATCTTTATGCTTGAATTTAAATATCTTTTGATTAATACATAACTTTGTTATACTAAATGTATATATCCAACTCATAATACGGTAATACGGACATAGGTGAGAAAAGGCAAATTTAATGAAAACATTTGCCGACCGGTATGCTTATATCCAATTTTGTTCACTTTCGACTGTGCTATGATACACATTGAACTAACAGTTGACTGAAATTATAACTATAGACACCCATTTATCCCATATTTCAGATGTTAAGATAAACAGTAGCAAAAACTTCTTTTTTTCCTTGCTTTTTTTTTTGGTCATCTGTGAATCTGTGGTAAATGAACAAAACCATCCCGGTAAGGCAATCACTAGATTATATTCAGCTCGTCATAATATGTGTTTTCTTCTCTTTTTCACTGTGACCTCTTGGAGAAATCAGCACGGTATTATTTCCGTAGATTATGTTAAAATATTAAAAGAAAACAGTTCTTGCTAAGTTATACTTACAGTGGCATGTGATCCATAAGCATCCATAATACTCCCAAAGTATGGATCTGCAGGAGGGTGTGGAACACAAGGCTGCAAGAGAGAAGAGTGGCCCATCGAACAGATAATTAAGGTATTTTGTTGGTTAATAAGCATGAAGTGGACTTACAATGGACTGGCCATAGTCAATTTTTGGAGGTTCGAAGACTACTTCTGGAGTTCCCAGGGAAAAAACTGGCTTCAGAGGAACCTGAACTTGCTTCTCATGTGAATTATCATCACCTAAGTGAAAGAGCATTAACAGGATAAGGTATTATGCATGTAAGGTTATCTTCTAATAAAGATGAGAGAGAGAGAGAGAAAATTATTCTCGTACGGTTTGTTACAATATCACATTATCACATATCAAGAAGAAACGTTATTATCATATTATGAAGATCTTTTCCACCAAACCGGGTTGTATATGAAATTCTAAAGTAACTTGCATATTTATGCGCGTGTCATAACATATTTGTAATTTCAAGAAAATTTATCCTTCTCAGAAAGAGACCTTACTTTAATTTTTTGAATTGGAGATTATACACTGAAGAATCCATAGTGGAAAATATCATGAAATCATGGCACCTTCCTTCAACTCCCACTATGAAGTGATCCTCTAGTTTTCATGGATATGAAGACAAGAGAGACTTTGAATTTTCATCACGACTCTTGTGATATATTGATAAAGACCTGACTTGCAATTAACCCCGCCCCTTTAATAGACACTCAAAGCTAAGAACCCAAACTCAAGACATGCATATTACTTTAGTAATCTGACTTGATCAAATAAAGTTTGGTCAATGTAAAAAAATGTAATTTAAAAGCACGATTAGGAATGTATTAGATTCTGATTCAATCCCTCTATGTTAGAATATAAGGTTATAACCCTCAACCCTCACCACAACTTAAGAATTTTAACGTAAAAGGGAACTTTAACTCTTTTAGGTGTGGCATGCCTCTTCTGACCTTAAATCTCTTGTTTCCTAAATTCAACACCAACTAATAGATTGCAATGTCATTCTGAAAAGCCGAGTGCAACTCTTGGTTTAATCTGTTTCCTTCTCATTCATGTGCAAATTCTCCCAAATTCCTCCACATGGTCGTGAAAGCTACAAAAAGAATGGGCCAATAAATTTAGGCGTAAGGCTTTGACTTTCTTTAGGAACAATCTTAAAGTTTGTTACCACTTTGAAACTTCATGATAAATTATCCAAGTGGACAATCCACTCCGTCCATTTTGTTTATCTTGTTTTAGAACATAAGTGTACAGAATATTATGCATATTGAAAAACTTTTGTTCTATAAGCAGCCTTGTCTGCAAGCATTACACGCAGGTTATAAATCTTCAGACCACATAATTTTAGTTTGTATATAAGAAATATCAAGGCTGTTATTATAAATGTATATAAGAAGATGGTGAAGTTGTTATGAGGTTGAATTTAGTTCATCGATACTCACTTCAGAATGTTCAATCTCATTATAGGAAAATGTAATCTATCTAATCTCAGTGTTCAAATCGGATGTGCCTTTCCATTAAAAGAATAAAGGGTTCAATAAGAATTATCAGATTCACCATAGGGTATATGTTTGGTATCCTCCAAGCTCTTGATAAATAAAAAATCAAAGTTTGAAGGCTAAGCTTCCATTTCAAATTGTGCATCCCTCGGTATTCCAGGATAAAACAAATCATGATCCACTTTGACTACAATGCGGTAAAGCATGTTTTTATTGTCACCATTTAGTACAACTGATAGGTCAGGAAAGATCAAAATGTAAATGAACATCAAAAAAGTCAACATAGTTCTAAGATAAACTTTTAAACATATAAATTGGAGAGAGTGTTATTTCTAGAATAAATATTGAATACCAGATTGAGTGGAGGGACACTGCTCCTGAAGTTTACTTCCCCTTGTTCCTGATACTTCTTGATGGGATCGACTTGTTGATTGAGTCGACAACAAATCATACTCGGACTTATGATACCCTAGTTGCTTTATCTCATTAGCTTGTTGTGCTAGGGAGTTGATATCAGTATTCAAGTTCAGGGTACAGTTAGGCTTTTGAACAAGTAATCCACTAGAATTCCACCATGATTGCCAATTATCCAAACTATTAGATCTTGAATGGACCAAAATCTTCTCCGAGGCACCATCACCAAGGTCTTGCATTTTAAAAGGCTTCAGATTCATGAGATATATCGAGAAAGACTAATTTTACACTAATCTTCAAAGACTCAAGGTTTATAGGTTCCTCCTTTTTTTCTACTCCAGCCTGCTAATCATGAAAGCTCAATCGTCATATAGAATAAATATGAAATACAGTGAGAATGAAAAGAAACTAACTGAATTCAGAAAGGAACACTTTCTGCGCCACTTTCACAGAGATAAGCAGAGAATTCTTCATTAAAGTGGGATCTACTTTCCCTATTCTTAGTTTACTTTCTATTCTTTTTCATTTACATTGATTCCATTATTCCTGAATCAAGCATCTCTAGCCGATGTGATAAGAAAAGTTTTGAAAGTTATGTATCGCAATGCCAAATCAAGAAAGTATACGAATACAAGTTAAAAAAAAGTCGATGGCAGAGCACAACCGCAATGAAAAGAAACAGAGAGAGGGAGGGTACTGTGAAAGGCATTAATACATAACAGATCAAATTACTGGATACCAGTCAGTACTTGAACTGCATATTATTCTCACGTCAGGATTTATTTTTATTTCAAGACAACTGGGAACTGGCTTTGCCCAGATTAATTAGATTCAATGGTTCTTCATGTGCAGGAGTATTCTCACCTAAGGTTTTCTCGACAGTAAGATCATCTTTGAATCGAGTCACACGGGTTCTTCCATTAAATTGAGGGACAAAATACCAAATAAGCTCTTCGCCATTTGCTGCTTTTTTTACAGACAGACTTAACAAATGGCGAATTCTGCTGGCAAAATGGACAAACGCAATGCTTACAACTAATCAGGATGAATTCCTATTTGCAGGGACAATGCGTGAGAGGCACTTGCGTCAATTATTTTTCAGGGCATATGATGCTCGATTTCAACTTTGGAGAATCAACTGCTGGCAATTAAACCAGGTAAGTTGTGCATGAGTGATTACTTTACAAAAGTAAACCCTGTGTTAGGAGATCCAGAATCAAAAGTTTCAGAGGCAGGGATGAAAGAACTATAACTCACGGTCTAACCCAAAATGAAAAGTTGTTAGTTGTGTATGTTACGTCTTTGCGCCAGATCAATTACACAATAAGCATGACAAAGAGGCAAAAAGATGCATATTTGCGGGGTAGGAAGCTGAGTTCAAAGTATCTCAAATGCAACCATTACCAATGAACGTAGGAAACATCAACCACAGAAGCAGACTACATATAAGCAGCAATGGCACAACAAAGTTTTTCTCTTGGGACATTAGTGAAGCTCCTCTCTCTCAAAGTATCTCAATGCAACCATTACCAATGCACATAGGAAACATCGACGATAAAGTTACTTCCCTATCAATTGTTGCTTGATAGCCGCTGACTAGTCAAAGTCCTTGAAAGTGCACACAGCCATAGACCAACTGTTTTCTGATTGCCCTATCTAGAAAAAGTCATGAACAAATATGAACCAGACAGAGACTATTGAAACTTGACTTACAGATCCCCAAATTCTCTACTCAGCTTCATTAAGAATGACACTTTCTCAATTTCACAACTAACACTAGATATAGTAGAGCTCAGTCATTAGGTTTCAAGTAAACCCATAAGCCCAAAACATCAAAAATTGAATTTGTCCAAGTAAATTCTAGAAACGGAGCAAACCCAACTTGAATTTCTTAGATTTTTTTTTTCAAGACCCATGTCACAAAAATTCACGTTGCATAACAAACTATTGAAATAACCATCATACAAACAGATTAAGTCAAAGAGAAATGATAGAAATAAATTGAAGAAAAATATTGAAGGGGTAAAGGGCAAGGACCTTGAAGAGGAGGAATCATGTTCTTTTCCAGCAGCCAACTTCTTAATGAATCTTTTCAATCTCCCTCTCTGCTGCGCATCTTTTATATATTTAAATAAAAAACAATAAAATAATGAGAAAACATTTCAGCCGATGGATTACGCCACCTCAACTCTCATTACTCCGTAATTATTTTCACCCCTCTATGGCGCTATAGGAACTTGATTACTAATTAATTTCCTTCTCCGCCGGTGTGTTCTTTCGAAAAATGTAGCACATAACTCCCTATAAGTTGCTAAATTTACAAAATGCAGCTTATAACAGATCAGTCGCCCTAGTTTACAAATTGGGTAAATTTCACAAAACCACCCAAACTTGTGGGTACTTCGCACAAATCCCCCTTGAACTCTATTCTCCCCGCTTGTTAACCTCTAACACTTTTAAGTTTTAACGTATCCCGTAAAATTTGCCAAAAAGTGTCTCTTGCGATAGGATGGGAGGACCTTATTATCTACTGTTAGGGACTTGGGTAGTATGGGCTACCTAAAGTCCCACATCGAGTAAAATGGAAAACTTGATGGGGTATTTAAGTAGCTTGGTTCTTCCCTCTTAACAGCTAGCTTTTAAGGGTGGGTTCCCCAAGTTGCTTGGATCCTAACATCTACTCAATATTGTTCTTTCATTATTTTGTCAGGGGCTCGTCTTCCCCTCTTCTTTTTGTTTTTTGAGAGTTTTGGAGAATAGTATTAGGATTGTGTCTTTGATTTTTTGTATAACTTCACGAGAATTAAATAGGGTTAGAGATCTATCATGATTAGGAGATTGGGTCTCATCATGATCAGGAGTTTAAATCCTATTCTAATTAAGAAGTTAGACTAGAGATAAGGTCTTTGGTTTTCTTATATATATTCTTCTATTGTTGGAGAAAAAAAAATCAAGGAGAGAAGAGATAACTAGTATTCTTATAATCTAGGGTTAGCAGAGGATGTAGCCTGATTCAAGAATATTGTGCAAGAGGCGAATGTTTCGTAGTCTTTGTCCATGTAAAAGATTATAATATTAGGAGAGGGTTTCACAGACTTTTTTCTTTCAAAAATTTATAAGGAGTGGGTTTTGGAGAGAATATGAGAGTTGATTATGTATGTGAGGTTGAGAGATTGAGACACGAAAGTTGAGTGGTTCTTCTTATAGTTCTCCCTGATACATAGTGAATTTCTCGTATCGTTGCCCTTGGACGTAGATTGAAGTTTGTCGACTGAACCACGTAAATCTCGGTGTTCTTTGTTCTTGATTGTGGTCTTTTTTTGTTGATTGTGGGTTGGCTTCCGAGTTGCGCATATTGTAGTAGGTGTGGAGACTATAATCCTCAACAAGTGGTATCAGAACCAGGTTGATGGATCCAGGAGCGAATTCGCAAGATAGACGCCATACAAAGGTGAAGATCGGCGGCGTTACAATAATCAAGATGAAGAAAAAGAAAAAGGGAAGATTAATTTGTCTTCTGATCGAGGGTTTGGAGGCGGATTTCGACGATCTATGAATTGATTCCTAGGTTCTGGAGTGCTCTGAACGTGATGGGATGGTCTGATTTTTCAGATTATGCTCACACTAGTCAGAAAGTGTAGAAAAGTTCTGATGGTGGTAACGAGACAGATCTGATGGTAGATAACACAAATGAGTATGTGACGGATGAGACTGGTATAAAGAATTAGATGATATCCTAGTAGTAGATTTGTCAGCATATAATTATTCAGAGTCATGGCAAGAGCAGGAGTTGGTTAGTGTGTAGACTCGAGGAGGATAGTGCCAGATTAGGTGGAGCTTACAAGCGGGCACGACCGAGTGACATACAGGGAGATGGAGATGGTTGCATTGGACTTAAAGACGATGAGCGCTCATATTCGATCCAAGCCAAGTGATGGATGAGATAAAGACATCTGGCTCGTAGTGTGGAGTAGGAGAGGTGCACCAATATGACTCGTGACGAGCGATGCAGGTGAAGTACGAGAACAGTAAGCGGGAGAAGACTTTTGTCAAGTTCAGTTCATGAGGAGAAGCATGGTTGATTTGCTTCTAATGTCAAAGGTGGCGAAGATCTCTTGGCGTGCACAAGGGAAATGGAGGCGCCACATCGAGACAGATGAAAGTGTGGGTCATAAAGGCATCTAGTTGAGAGTGCAGGTGTTTTGATTTGAAGTGCAAAAGAAATAAAAGACTCTAGCGGGGGAGAGACAAAGTTTCAAGACGACGGTGATATATCTTCAAGGGAGTTTGTGAAACAAATCCAATGTGGAGATTGTTGGGATTGTGTCTTTGACTTTTTATATAACTTCGTGAGAATTAGATTGGGGTGGAGATCTATCATGATTAGGAGATTGGGTCTCATCATGATTTGATAGGGGAGACTAAATTTTTGAGATTTTATCAGTGAAACTTAGTAGTTTTTGGGGTTCTGCGGGAAAAGTGTGGTGGTTAAGTGGAGATCGACCCCAAAAAGATAATTAAGGTTGGATTAAATTTTAAAAGCTACTTTTTGTAACGGAGAGAATCTAAATTGGTGTTTTCTGGCATACCGTAAATCTATTTTACTTTGGCCCATTTTCTTATATGCCACATTTAGAAATCATCCCTTAGATCAGTATAAAAGTCATTCTGGACTTTGCAAGATGAGATAATTTTTTAAGAGTGCTGCTACGGGGACCCAAAATATGGGACCAATGGAGGGGACAGGTGAGGTGTCTCCTCCCTATTGCATAATGAGTTAGTTATGAGTTAGCATGAGTTGGCATAACCAACTCATTATGCAATAGGGAGGGGACACCTCACATGTCCCCTCCCTTGGTCCCATATTTTGGGTCCTTAAATCATTTTCCATTTTTTAATGAAGAAAATAACAATTTATTACATTTCGGATTTGAATACCGAATTTACTTCTTTAGTCAAAACCGTTCACACTTCACAGACATTAGACACACATGATTTGTTTTGTAATCGACGAGGTCTACACTATTTTATAGGCATTAATGAACAATTGTGAATAATAAAAAGTTTGATTTAGCTCTCATATCTACGAAAAGAAAATCCAAATCCATTGTCCTGCCACCTCATCCTTTTCAAAGATGCTAGTAACCAACAGAGCCATGGCACTTGCCCTCCAACAGCACACAATTGTCAATAATTTTGGGACACGTCATTATAAACCTTAATCTCGTGCGCTTAAGCTCCTAAAAGTACAAATAATGCAACAAACTGATCCAGCTTGCAGGTTTAGCCCCATATATACACTCCGTGATTAGGCCACCACCATTTTTAGCACTTGCTAATGCTCCACTACGAGCTAGCAGCCTTGTCACGCTCAAAGAAGAAGTCCTTGAGTTGATTATTGAGAGTGTGACATATGCTAAAATAATATTTATTTTGATCTAGGTTTATGTTTTAGGGAGTTAAAAAATTTGAAGGTGGTGTTAGATTTGGCCGGCATTAGAGTCATGGGATTTGATTGATAATCACGCTGGATGTTAATAATGTCCTTGTCTTAGAGCATAATACTAGGATAAGCACTTATTATAATTCAGTTTGATGGATTATATATTGGAATTTTTTTAATAAAAGGGCTGTTTTAAGACAATTATTTAATATTTCACAATGCGTGAAGTATTTTGTTTTGCAAGTTAGAACGAGTGAAAGCAGGGGCGGGGGGGAAACGGCGAGTTCTATAAAAATGAAAAGTTATTTGATAAATATAGAGTGTTGGTTAAATGGTTTAAGGAAGCAATACATCTATATCTATATCTATACTTCTATACTACATATAAAAGAGGATTGCATTGTCAAAGCTTTTAACTTCCATTTTCGCCCTTTTATATTTGATAATTCTCAAATATATCACTAGTTATAATTAATCGTTCACTAATTATATATAACCTCTTATTAATTATATATTTCCTCACTTTTTCAAAACCTTTGGTCATACTATTATTTTATTATGTTATTTATTAGAAAATTTAAAATTTATCTCTAATTTATCTTCACATAATATTGAAAATTCTAGAAAAATTAAAAATTATAAAAATTCATTAGGCTTATGCCTTACATCTTTGGGTTTCACCTCTTATGAAGGACAACATGTTACCTTACATCTTATTAGCCTTTTAAAAGTATGATAATAGTATGAAAAACCATATGTATTTATTGTAATTGTAATAGAATTGATATTATAATGAATTTAGTAATATTTTTTTTAAATTATTAAATTACATTATAATTTAATAATTATACAATTTAGTAAATTATTTACTAACAGTGTAATAAACAAACTATTAAATGCAAATATAGTTACTAATAATATTATAATTATGCCAAGTATAATATTATTATATTTAAAAGAAAAGAAACTATTTAATATATTATAATTATTTTAGTAAATTATGAATAAATTATAATAATTATCCAAACTATAATAAGTTATCATGTAGTTATTTATACACAGTTTTATTGTATAATTTATTCATTTAAATAAAATTATAATTGTTCAGAATTTATATTGCTATACAAGTCATTTCATATTTTGCAGCCAATAGAAAAAATTAAAAATATAAAACAAAACAGGTATGCTCTCGTGCAAAGCACGTGCACTATACTAGTAAATATAAAAAATGTAAAGATGTGTTTGGCAAACTCTTAAAATTGAATCAGGACTAAACATGTTCCCGTTTTGGGTCTATTTTTATTAGCAAAAACTAATCAATTCTAACCCAGTTCTTCTTAAACCAAGTTCATAAAATCAATTTAATGTTGGACCACCACCCATTTGAACCAACTCTAAACCGAGGCTAGGATTGAAGCTGACCTAGTTTTTTGGTGATTGCCAAACACACCCTAAGGAATTTACATAAAAAATTTATTTTATGAGGATAGCGAAAAGTATTAGAGGAAGAGAAGTTCTAGCTACAGTCACCAAGCACGACAGTGGTTATCGCTCGCTTGCTCGAAAAAGATGCCACATACTCCAATTCCAAACCTAACCCTAAACCCAACTTTAACATCCTTGAGTGTCCTTAGACTTTTTAATTGGAGGAAAGAGGACATCATGTGTAATACCAAATTTTTGAAATGTGACTAAGATAATACCAAATCCCACGTTTAACAAACAAACCCCTGAAATTACCCTAGAGGGGGGTGAATAGGGTAATATGTTAATCTAATCTGATTTAATGCCAATTTA